TATAAGGCTAGAAGAATGCATCAAGGCTAAATTGTAGTTGATAAAGAGGCAACAGCCCCTTATAATAGCCAGGATGAGAGGATGTTTGGTCATTTTTTTTTATGGTTTGAACAATGGTCTTGATTTTGTCTATGTTAAGACATGATTACGGTGTGGTCTCAGTTTGCCTTGATCATCACAGTTACAGAATATTCTTACCTATTGTTGGTGTTCTGTGAAATGGTTTATGATCAACAGGAGAACTCCAAGGCCCACCTGTAGGTGCCAGCCCAGCTCTCACAACCCCAGTGGAGAGTGCCAGCTAGTGGAGAGTGCCAGCTAGCGGGAGAGTGCCAGCTAGCTCCTTGGTGTTAAGGGCTTTTTCCCTTTTTGCCATGTATGTTTATGAGAGAGACTGGTGTGCCATTTTTCTTTTTTGTAATGTTCTTTTCAGATTTTTGTACCAAGTTTATGCTGGTCTCATAAAATGAATTAGGAAGTGTGGCTTCTTTTTCAATTCTGTAGAAAATTTTGTGAAACATTGGTATCAATTATGCTTTAAACGTTTGGAGAAAATCCCCTGGTGAAATTGTTTGAGCCTTGACGATGACTCTTTTCTTGACCAAACTTTAGTTAGGCAACTCTGGGTCCTGAAAAGCTTGGTGGGCTTTTCCTGTATAGGCCCTTCCACTAGGCCTTGCCCTTGGCCCCTGTCCTTGCTGCGCCTGTGTAGTCCAGTTGTAGCGAGAATCATGCTGATTCAGTTTAGAGAGAATCCCCCACCCTTGATATCTGATCTGCTCGATCTCTGATAGAATACATTGCTCATCTCCTACTCCTGAGATCTGATCACCCTGGCCTACCTTCAGCAAGACCCTTGCTATGTTAATTTAGGAAGGGCCCCTCCCCTTGATGTCTCCCTTAGTAATTTCCCATATCTTAACCCCTCATTGTACTCATTTACGTTCCTTTTTTACTTTTTTTTTTTGGCTGTTTTGGATGAATGAGCTATTTTTTTTTTATTATTCCATTTTCCCCCTATTTAGTTTTTTTTTTAAAATAAGTATATTCCTATATTATTTTTTTGGAAGTTACCCCAGAGATTAAAACAATTGCTTTTGACTTATTCCGGTCTAACATAAATGAGTTCTAAGACAATGCCAAGACCTTAGAGCATTTTAACTCCATGTACCCCTCTTTTTGTTTTGCTATTTTTGTCATGCAGTTTAATCCTACACATGTTTAAATCTCCACAAGATATTATTATTGTTTTGTACGATTCATATTCATTTAGATTTACATGAATTTATGTGGCTCGTTATTCCTATGTGTATCGTGTGTTTCAATCTTCTGACACATTGGGGAAACCATTGCTGCATGTTGGATTCATTCTTGGTGTCCTCCTTCTCTTTGGTATCTTGGCCTCTCAAGGCCACTTCCGTAGCCTCAAATCCCATTTTGACTTCCCAGGCCTGTCAAATTGCTTGAAGCCCTGCTGGCTTCTCTGCCTCTCAGCGTCTGCTAAGTTTCTCAGTCTCTAGTTCAGTACCAAGAACTGACACCTGCCCTGGAGGTGAACTTGGAATGCAGAAAGTTGGGCTCACATACATAAACTTCCTTTCTTTCTTGGAACTGGTGCCCTAATTCTGTCTTGGCAGTTCTCCTATGCCTTGAAACAATTAAAAAAGTAAAAAGATTTGATCTGTTCTTTAAGTTTATCTTCAGTTTTCTTTCAACTACTCATCATAGCCAGAAGCAAAAGTCCTATAATTAATTATACATTTTGTACATATATTCTCTGGCATATGGGAAGCCTTTGGTCATTTAAGAAACCAACTAGTGTGTGTTGCTATGGAGAGAAATAATGAGAAGTAATGAAGAGATTGCCTTGTTTCGGTGAACCCATTGCCAACCCTGGGCCCTCTTTCTTCTACTCCAATCGGCTTATAGCGTGGAGAGAGCACGTCACTTATATCTCACCTGGCTGCAGCCCCAGGATGACATGAATAATGCAGGGCTGACTGCCAGAGTGTGCTGTTTGGGATCCTGAAGGGCCCTCCAGCCTTCAAAATGCCTTCTCACCCTCCCGCACCCGAGACTACCACTGATGCCTTCCGTAAGGAACAGAGGCCACAGCTAGAGGAAGTTTAAATTTTCCAAAACTCTGGGCACCCAGGGCAACACGCAGACTTTGGTGAATGACAGATACCAGATTATTCTTTGAGAGCAAGAATGGGGAGAGGGGAGAGGCATGCTATGACAGAGGGAAAGAGGAAGAAAAGAGAAAAACAGTCTGCCGACATTATAATCATGCCTCGGCAGTGTCCCGAGGACACAGGCAGGCAGTTCCTCCAGTGCCATGATAACCAGCGGGGCAGGGGGCTCTGATACCCTTTATCTCCTACGTGGCCAGGGGTCCTGCAGGAGGTGAGTAACTGAGCGGGTGTCAGCCAGCCCATTTCTGAAACCTTCACCCCTGTGCCGCGGCCTCCCAGGCTGGAGGAGTGGACCCCATTTCATGCTCCCTTGATCTTTGGGGTCTTCTCTAATTAATCATTTGTCAGGGCCACAGCGCTTTGGACAAACTGACTACTGCCGAAGCTCGGTGTGCTTTTCCTGTACCGTATATTCTTCCCTCATCTGTTGTCTGTTTGTGTGCGGTGTTCTATAAATACATTAATTGGTGCCACTTTTAATTTAACTGTCACTGCTGTCTCTCTTCTTGACAAGCTTATATTAAACTCTCTTAGGATGGAACAAAATAAAACCACCCAGCCATAAGCAGCCTATTTTGGCTAAAGAGGAATGTAACAGGAAGAAAAGTTGTAGTCTTCCATGGTGGGGAAAAGACCATTAAGACTCATCGGTGACAGTTTGTATGAAAAATTTAGAGTAAAACTTCCTTCTTAGAAGTGGGGGGAATATCCTCTGGGAAACTGAACTAAGGAAGGTAAGGTGGAATTATCAGAACAGCAGCTGCAATTTAGGAAGTGGGCTAAAACCAATTTCACCTTCATTTTAACATTCATCAAGTCATGCTTATTTTAGACGGACTCTGGTTTTGGTAGAGTTTCAGAAACCATATTCCATACATACCTTAAAAGGCTGTAGCCATTTTGTAACAATGGAAACCCGACTGGTACAAGTGCCTGTTTCAAGTGTCTTTTGTACTTGATAGAAATTGGGACTGACTAATTGTACAATAGAGTATATTCTTACTAACTCCCGTCTAGATGGCATTTAAAGACATAGTAGCAAATAATTTTAAATTTTTGAAATTCCGTGTTCTAAAGTTTATAAAACCAATGTTTGGGGATTTGGCAAGTTTAGGGTATAATGAGGCCCTTTATTTCTAGATAAATTTAGATTTATATCAGCCAAGACCAGTAGACTGGTGCATCAGTCAGGATCTGCCAGAGAAACAGAACCAGCGATTGTGGGAGCTTGCATGTCTGACATTCCTAGAGTAGGCCGTCAGGAAGGGCAGTCTGGAATCTGTCAAACCAGAGCTGATGCTGCAGTCTACAGGTGGAATTTCTCCTTCCACTGGGAAACCTCAGTTTTGCTCTTAAGGTCTTTAACAGGTTGGATGAGACCCACCCAGATTATCAAGGATAATCTCCTTTCTTTAAAGTCAATGGACTGCAGATGTTAATTAACCACATCCACAAAATACCTTTGCAGCAGTACTTAGGCTAGTGTTTGATCACATAACTGGGTACTGTAGCCTTGCCATGTTGACATATAAGACTAAGCACCATCACTGGTCATGAAAACTCTCCTCTGGTTTGAATGGAATTATCTGGAGGTGCCATTAAGTGTCTGTAAACAGCATCAGTCCTGAAGGTCTGGCCTGCGTGGTCGGCTCTCTGACTCCTAAATGGATTCCGTCTCATGGTGTGGGAGAAAGCCCACACGTGCTGTCCTTGTTCTCACAGTTCCTAATGCTTTGATAGGGGCAAGAGCTCAGGACACAGACTGTAGGGCAGAACTTCCTTATTTTTCATAAAAGCTACACAGAACGAATGTCCATACTCTTAGTCATCTCCTTCTCTCTTTGCCTCTGCTTCTGGAGAATGGTGTGTAGGGAAGGGCTTTGGAGAATTTGTAATATGTGTTTAGTTCTGAAGAATGCTTAATTTAAAATTTCTGTAAGTATGGATTCTTTACTTAAAAGTATGTTTCCTTTTAGAACAAAGAGAATATGAAAAATGAATATGATCATATGACCACAAAACTGTAAAGTCTTCACTTGGCCAACCAACATTTATTTTATAGATATTTTCATTGTTTATAGCTAGAATAATCTTAATGTGACTCAATATAACTTCTTTAGTTTGTTTAGCAATTTTATAATTTTAAGTGTTTATTATGTTGGAATATGTACAATGAATGCAATGGGAATGAATGTAATGTACTGTAACGTGAATGAATGTACACATTCAATAAGAGAAACACATTTGAATTTAGGCTTAGATTCTATTCTTTGGTCACTAAATACTAACTCAGCAATAGTGCAGCGTGAAGGGGAAAAATTATCCAATGTATTTGTTAAATGTAGTGTATCAAATGGGATTGTAGAAATTCTTCTTCTTCTACCCAAAGCTATTTCGATCCTCTTTTCCAGTGTTACATTTATCAAATGTAAATTTAAAATAAAAGTTCCGTGGTTATAAATGTGTTAAGCACCTACTAAGATACTTTGATGTTCCCTGAACATGACATATACTCCTTGTAAAATCCTTGAATTTTTTTTAAGGCCTCCAAATTCTCTATCATTGTACATGAAAAAGAAAAGGAAAGTTAAAATATTTTGATTTTTATTATCACAATAAAAATATCTTGTGAGAATTCTAAGAAAAAAAAAAGCAACTTTGCAATGTTATCGCCTGGATAAGAGGCAACATTTTCATATTTCGTGCAACTGGGAAGTGAGTCCAGGTATTCACAGTGCGTATCTGGTGAGCTGACAAAAGCAGGGCCCGTCGTAAGGACAGCCGCCTGGGAGTGGCGAGGGCATCATGCTGGCCGACCACGGCATCCTTTCAGCTGGTGGTGGTAAAACTCAGGGGTTGGAACCTGCTGCATGCAAAGGAAAATTTTTAAACTAGCTTTTTTCATCTTGATTGAGGATGAAAACATAAATGGGAGTGTTTGAACCTCTTGCAACCATTTTCTTGGAAAGTAATACCTAAGTGTTTTCTTAAAACATCATTTGAAATTGAAAATGCAAACTGTGGGACTCATTAGTTTGTCTATGGGTGGTCTTCAGAGGCTGGACCAAGGCTGGGTGTCTGGGTGTTGGTCGATGTGGGCTGAGTGACGTGTGAGCTGAGTGACCGGGCAGGTCTGGACACGTTATTTCTGGGAAACCTTGAAAATAAGTCCCACAATTTGTCTACTTTCACCTCCCTTTAGCCTCAGAACGTTTGGCTCCATAGGGTCCCAGTGAGGCCACACTGCAGAGACTCAGAGCTGGAGAAGCCCCTGCTCAGCAAGGATGGCCATACCCTCACCTTCGGACACTGTTGAACAAGTGTCTTGCTGACACATTAAGCCAACGTGAGCAGTTCTTGATCCATGGGTGAAAAACTGGCAATCACTGGGGATTAGATGAAATCTCATTTCTATTATCAAATTATAATCAAACTTTTTACACAGGATCCATTTTACATGGTGACTTAGAACACAACTCCGGCTGCGTATGTGCACACACACTTGCACACCAAACTTAAAGTTTCACAGACTAGTTCTCCCCCTTGTTACCTGTGGTTTGCTCTGGTATTTTCTATTCTATCCCATCCTATCCTATCTATCCTATCCTCTCCTCTCCTATCCAATCCATCCTCTCCTTTCCTCTCCTATCTGTCCTATCCTATCCCATCTTATCCCATCTCACCCCATCCTAACCACTCTATCCTATTGTGTCTGTATCCAAAGTGCTAATTGTGACCCATTACATTTATGTTATGACACTTTAATATCTGGTGGATCTACTTCTAGAAAATAAAACCAGCAGTGGTACAGCTTCGTGAACACTGGCAGTGAAAGAAGCTCTTCTGTACGAAACAATCTGCTGCCCAAGACATGCTGATTTCTGATAAGGGGCCCAGCTCTTTTCCTCCCAAGTGAGAAGGACAAAGAGGAGAAGAGGTAAGGATTCACTTTCTCGGTAGGACACAGATATACACAGGGATGTATGTACCTATATATGTTATTTTTTAAACCACATATAGTCCCCAAACTTGACTTTCCTTTCCCTGAAGTGGCATAGGAAAGAAGAAAATCAATATCTATTGAAACTGGACAGTGCATGAATTGGTCCTGGGAATAGGAACTCTTGCTGCAACTCTCACATGTCACTGAAGCTTGTAGTAAACAGAACTTACCATCAGAGAGGACTTTGAGTAGACTAATTGGTGATCTGGATTAATGTCTTGATATGGCATTAATTTTCTTTCCATGGTCAATTCTGGGTGACATTCTAAAAGTCCCTGGAAAGGAAATTAATCGCCTACTTTTCCTGTGTTGTTAATGGTGCTCCCCTGGGCTTTCAAAAGCAACTTTCAAAGGAGAATGTGATTTGGTCCATAGTTCTTGTTTATTTTTGGTTTTCCAGAGTCTGGACTTCTTTATTAAAGGCTGTCAACCTAGGGCTTTGACCACAGATATTTAGCACCATGTTTTTAAGAAAAAGAAAATCAAAATTGGGGTTAACGAAAGTTAGAAATCTTTTAGTCTCCTTGTAGGTCTCCTGTACAGACACTTGTTTTGCAACTGTCTCTGGCCTGGGTGCGCCAGGTCTTTGCAGACCAGCTTGACCAGAGGAAAAACAAAATAAACATTGCCAATGGTGGCGGTCATAACCGGCAGACTCCTTTTTTTTTCTACCAGACAAATCTCTTCTTTTTCCCCCCATTAAAATTTTGTCTGTATTTGACATTTTGAATCACCCTAGAAGGTGGAATATTGTTTTTGTTGAAGCCACTGGGTAAGTGTCTCCTACCTATCTTGTCTGGAAAAAGCCCCAAATGTGCCCTTCTCATTTGCCCCTGGCCTAGGAATACTGCCCTTCCTGGCCTCTCTGGGTCTTGCATTGTAGCCCATCTGGCCTCAAGTTGGAAAAAAACGCCTTATCCAGGGTACCTGAATCCCCTAGGGAGCTATACCGTGACGCCCCAAGTAGCCCTGAGACCTGGTGTAGGTGGACGGTGAACCTGCAAGGAGCCTGCCTAGACTTCAAAGGGCAAATGACATGAAATGCTCCTAAAAGTCTGAAGATACCAGCAAATCATACAGCGAATGAAAAATAGAGAGATTCTTGGAGGAGGCAGTGGTTGAAGCATTAGAAGCAGACTTGTCAGAACAAAAATACCTTGTCATCACTGCCTGGCCTCATGAGCAGGTGGGCATGGAGGCAGCGCCATAATTCTTAGGCTGCCCCTCTGACTTTGTATCTCAAAATACTCACCATTGAGTTCTGGTTCTCCTAAGAGTTGGTTCCAACACTTACCTGCTCTTTTCTATACATCCCGGTTCTTCTATTTAAACACGGGTTCTTTTCTTCACACCATGAAGACGTGTTCAGATCTCTCCTGTTTTGGAGGAAGGCCCAGGAAGCGTCGCACGGCCTGAGTCGGGCGGCGGGAGTCGTGCTGGAGAGAATCTCTGCGGGTAATAGCTGACGTGTTCCCTTGAGTGGAAACTGAAAAAGGGTCCTCTCCTCTTCTCCCCTCCCCTCAGGCCTGCGACGGGCGCCAGCAGGGAGGCAATGGCGGCGATGGCGGCGGTCGGCTCGTCGGGCCCGCGGGCCTTTTCCCCGGCCTGGGGATTCTCCACCTACCAGCCCTTCGAGCCCCGGGCCTGGGGCCTCAGCCCGAGCTGGCGGCTGACGCGCTTCTCCGGCACAAAGGGCTGAGGCTGCAAGGTCCCGCAGGGGGCGCTGCTCAAGCTCCTGGCGGGACTGAGGTGGCCCCCACCAGGCCGCGGCCCTGAGGAGGTGGCCCGGAGAGCGGGAGGCACAGCGTCCCCAGCCCTGGGCATTGGGCTGGACTCCTGCGTCATCCCCTTGAGGCACAGGGGCCTGTCCCTGGTGCAGACCACCGACTTCTTTTACCCCTTGGTGGAAGATCCCTACATGATGGGGCGCATAGCTTGTGCCAACGTGCTGAGTGACCTCTACGCCATGGGCATTACTGAATGTGACAACATGTTAATGTTACTCAGCGTCAGCCAGAGCATGAGTGAGGAGGAACGGGAGAAGATAACGCCGCTCATGATCAAAGGCTTTCGGGATGCTGCCGAGGAAGGAGGGACTGCAGTGACGGGTGGGCAGACGGTGGCCAACCCTTGGATTATCATCGGTGGAGTTGCCACTGTGGTGTGTCAGCCACATGAGTTCATAATGCCTGACAGTGCTGTTGTTGGGGACGTGCTCGTGTTAACCAAACCCTTAGGAACCCAGGTTGCTGTCAATGCCCACCAATGGCTGGATAATCCTGAAAGGTGGAGTAAGGTGAAGACGGTGGTCTCCAGACAAGAGGTAGAGCTGGCCTATCAGGAAGCTATGTTCAATATGGCTACTCTGAACAGAACTGCTGCTGGGTTAATGCACTCATTTAATGCCCATGCGGCCACAGATATCACAGGCTTTGGCATTCTCGGACACTCTCAGAGCCTTGCGAAACAACAAAGAAATGAAGTGTCCTTTGTCATTCATAATCTGCCAATCATTGCCAAGATGGCTGCCATCAGCAAGGCCACGGGGCAGTTTGGGCTCCTTCAAGGAACCTCAGCTGAAACCTCTGGGGGATTACTGATTTGTCTGCCAAGAGATCAGGCAGCTCACTTTTGTTCTGAAATCAAATCTTCCAAGTATGGAGGGGGTCACCAAGCATGGATTGTTGGCATTGTGGAAAAGGGAAACCGGACAGCCCGGATCATTGACAAGCCTCGAGTTATTGAAGTCCTGCCTCGTGGGGCCACTGCTACCGTTTTTGCTCTTGACAATTCTAGTGCCTCCTCGGAGCCACCTCATGACATGAAATGGCAGAAGTTATTTGGACCTTAGAGTCTTTGTACATAATCATGGACAATTCTCAAGAGTTAATTTTAAGAAATTGCCAAAGAAGGCTGCCTGCATAGTGATTCCAGCTTCCCTTTCTAGGTAACTTCAATAGCCCATCAAAAGCTGCCTCTATGTATGTACATTCATTCCAAGGCCAGAAGTAACATGCTGAACTTTGGGGAGACATTTTTTCATCTATGGGTAGAAGAGGAGCAGAAAAACCCGTTTCCTCTTTCCAAAGTAAGATGAGGCTATTCTGGTTTGAGAGATTTTTCTTTGCACTGGGTTGATTCACTTCTGCACAGAGGGTGAGATTATTTATTAAAATTGCATACACACACAAAAAAAGTAAATTGCAAAATGAAAAAATTTAGATCAGAAGCAAATGAGTTTGGACCAATACTGCTGAGAAATCTAAATTGTTAAGAGAGATCTCATAATGTAATGTCTAATTCTTTATTAGATTTTTCTGAAGTACTGGCTCTTTCCTGCTCTGGACAAGAATTGAGCAGCTTGTCCAACAACTGGGAAAGGAGGACCTGCCACCATCCGACTTGGTCTCTGTTAATGATGTCTCTCTTTCTAACCCCATGAAGGACTGGGAGAGGCAGAGCAAACCCCAGAGCCCAGGCCTTGGTGGTCATTACCATGTTAAATCTTGTGCTGACAAGTTCTGATGATTTAATCAATAAAGAGTAATTTCTAGCTAAAAAAAAAAAATTTCTCCTGGTTTAGAATACAAAACCCTCCAACTATCCTCCTTTTCCTTCCAATGGTTGCTTCTCATTCTCTCCAGGTGTGAACTTTTCTCCAGGTGCGTCTCAACTTTTGGTGTGCACCAAAATCTCCTATAGAACTTGTTAGAACACAGATTGCTGGGCCTTACCCCCAGAGTTTCTGATTTGGGAGGTTTGGAGTAAGGTCCAAGAATGTACATTTCTGACAAATTCCCAGGCGATGCTGATAGTTAGGTACCCACTTTGAGAACCATGGCTCTAAAGAGTACTCTCTACATTCAATGGCTTCACTTGCTGTTTTTCCATTTACTACCCAACTTGCTGCTGCCTGCCCACTGCCCCACCACTACTGACCTCCAAAGATCAAATCCAGTGGATGCTTTGTGTCCCATCCTTACTCAAGCCCTCTGTAACATTGGTTACCTGACTATGTCCCTCTCTTTCTTTCTTTGGTTTCCCTGACATCACTCTCTCCCAGTTGTTTCCTCCCTTTCTGACTGCTCTTTTTTTTTTTTGAGACAAAGTCTCACTCTCTTGCTTGGGCTAGAGTTCCGTGGCATCAGCCTAGCTCACAGCAACCTCAAACTCCTGGACTCAAGCAATCCTCCTGTCTCACCCTCCCAGGTAGCTGGGACTACAGGCACGTGCCACCATGCCTTGCTAATTTTTTCTATTTTTAGTTGTTTGGCTAATTTCTTTCTATTTATAGTAGAGACAGGGTCTCGCTCTTGCTCAAGCTGGTCTCGAACTCCTGAGCTCAAGCAATCCTCTTGCCTTGGCCTCCTAGAGTGCTAGGATGATAGGTGTGAGCAACCGCGCCTGGCCATGAGTGCTCTTTTTGAGTTGTCTTTTCAGCAACCTCTTCTACTCATGGTGTGTTTCAGTCTTCCTCAGGGCACTGTGCCTGTCCTCTACACTTTTCACTCTGCATTCTTCCTGGGCTGCCTCACCTATGCTTACATCTTCCATGTATGCCAATGACCCTCAAATTCACCTCTCTACCACAGGCCTCTCTTCTAGCTCCATATCTGTATATCCACAGACTCATGAAGTTAGACACATCCCCAAACAGGCTTGTTATATTTACCCCCAAATCGTCCCCTTGTTTTCCTGATCTCCATGAAGGGAAACCATTTTCCCCTGAGCTAGAAATTGGTGTGTTGTTTTAATTTTTATCTCCCTCATCCTTAATCCTGATGTCCAGTTCATCAACAGAATATCTCTTACATTCCCCCCTCCCCTTCCTTTCATTTTTCGTTGCTAATGCCTTGGTTCACTGCTGTTTGCCAGTATTACTGGAAGACCCTCTTAACTCTTAACTCTGTTTCCAGGCTGGGACAGTATAGGGATAATTCATGGGCACTAGCTTTTGTTCTTTCTGGGCACATTTTATTTTTTTTATTTTTATTTATTTTTTTTATATTAAAAGTTTGCTTTTTATTTAACCTTTTTTTTTTCTTTTATTTCAGCATATTATGGGGGTACAGATGTTTAGGTTATGTATACTGGGAATATATGGGTCCCTCAAATCATGTAACATTTTGCCATTCCATAAATTCTTATTTTGCCATGTGATGCTCCATCATTTTATACAACAAGAGGACTCATCATACACATATGAAGCATGTATGGCATTGCTGTTCATTGCTGGAAAATCTATAATTTTTCTCCAGCACAATGTGTATCAGCTTCTGGCATTCTGGACTTGGCTGTTGCAATCCTTTCTTAATGAAGTGCCACTGCTGAGAGGGGAGAAACTAAAGGGACCCTCCCCTAATTTAGATTTAGTGCTAGGAAGGAACATTAAATACGATAATACAGGAGGTATGCATTCTTAGCTCCGTTTCACAGATAAGGAAACTGAGGCTCTGAGAAGGAAATAGAGTTAGAAAAAAAGTAGAGCCGAAGATACAAACCAAGTCTGAAAAAAGCAGGTTGTGGAAAATGAGAAATGTCTAGCTCCTTCTGGGTAGAAGAGTATGGTTTCTACAGAGTATAGTTTCATTATTTTGTTGAAGTGTGGTAAATTTTAATAAACCCAGACATCCCTATAACAAAGCAGATTCCTGCAATAAAGTGGAAAAAGTCCTAAAGCCAAATATGATCTTGTGCTCCATTTCGATAGGCAGTGTTGTTCTGTGTATGTGCGTCCATGTGTATGTATGTGTAGTTCTATGAAAATTTAAAAACATTTTATTTGGAAATAACTATAGATTCTCAGGAACTTGCAAAGGTAGTACAGAGAAGCCCTGGGTATCTTTTATCCAGTTTCCCCAGTGGTTACATCTTATATAACTGTAGTGCGATGTCAAAGCCTGCAAACTGGCATTGGTACGATGTGTGTGTACATAGTTCTGTGAATATGCAGATTCATGTGACCACTGCAATCAAGATATAGAACGATTCCATCACCGGAAATATCTCTCTCGTACTACCCCTTTAGAATGACTCCCTCTTCCCTCTTCCCTCCACCATCCCTAACCCTGGCTACCTCTAATCTGTTGTCCATCTCTGTAATTCTGTCATTTTGAGAAGGTTGTATAAATATATAGTATGTAACCTCTTGAGACTGACGTTTTTCACTCCATAATGTCTCTACATATAGTTGGGTCATGTTTTTAAAATCTTCTCTGCAAATATGTGTCTTTTAATTGTCTCTCTCTTGCTTATTTCAAGATTTTTTTTGTAAAGATAAATACGAAAATACGAAAAATACAGGTAAACTATATTTTTTAGAAGATTAAATATGTTGTGTCTAGGGATGGGTTTCTTTAGGTCTATCTTCTGTAGAATTTGCACAGTTTCTTGATTCTTTAGGTTTATGTCTTTCATCAAATTTGGGGAATTTTTAGCTATTATTCTATAACTTTAAATACTTTTTTAGCCCCACCTTCTTTCTTATCTCCTTCTGTGACTCAAACAACATGTTTGATTTCTTTGTTGTAGTCCCATAGGTCCCCGAGTATGTTCATTTTTTTCAGTTTATTTACTTACTGTTATCCAAAATGAGTAATTTCTATTGTTCTGTACTCAAGTTCACTGACTCTTTTCTCTGTCCTTTACCTTCTGCCGTTAAGCTCACCTATTGAATTTTTTTGTTTTTGTATATTTTAGTTCTAAAATGTATATTTGGTTCTTCTTTACATCTTCTGTTTGCTGAGATTTTCTGTTTTTTCCTCTGTTTCAAACATGATTTTGTAATTGTTCATTAAAGCCTCTTTATGATCACTGCTTTAAAATCTTTGTCAGATAATCCCATCCTCAGTATTATCTTGGTGTTGGCATCTGTGGACTGTCTTTTCTTATTCAATCTGAGATTGTCTTGGTTCTTGGTGTGATGAGTGATTTTTTATATTATCCTGGACATTTTGGGTATTACATTTTGAGACTCCAGATCTTACTTAAATTTTCTGTTTAGCAGGCTTCTGACATGCTGCTGGAGGGGAAGGGGTGCACTGCCTTGTCACTGCGAGGTTGGGGTGAATGTCCAGGTTCCTTTCTTGGTTTCCTTAGTGCCCCCGAGGAGAGCCTCCCCATTACTGCTGGGTAGGGGTGGATTCCAGCCTCCTTGGGGGCCTCAGCTGGCACCATGCTGGCTGGGAAGGACAGGGATGTCCCGCTGCTGCTCCCCATGGGAGACAGCTGAAGAGGACGAGGCTGCCTCGTTACCTCTGCCTGGGAGCATAAGTCCAAGATCCTTTCTCCGTTGACACCATGGAGAGGGGGTTCATTCTGCTGGTGAGGATGGCGTCCTGGCTCCCCACTCTAATAATTCTCTGATAGGGGAGACACGGCGAGGGGTGATTGCTACAGCTGGGACAGGGTGGTGGTCTAGGCTCCCCACCTGGCCTTTGCTGATGGAGGAGGAGGTGGGGCTCCAGTTTTTCCTATGGTGTTCGCCGGGGGTAGAGTGGTTATTTCTGAATGTTTTCTGTCTTGCTAGGTTGCACCTTTCCTTGTGCTCCAGCTAGAAAGAGCAGGCTTTTCGTGGGGGTGTTTTTATTCTGTTCTTGCCATTGTTTTGAGTCGCTGGCTTCTCCAGCACGCTGTCTGGGATATGTGAGGCAAAAAGAAAACCCAGGAAACTGGACACAGTTGTCCTCGAGTCTCGAGGCCTCTTGTCAGATTGCCTTCTTCTCTCCACCTTTTAGAGTCTTGTTATGTTGTGCTATACATAATATGTGGGTTTCCAGCTGTGCTTTTCACTTCATTTGTTGACATACAATGTGATCGTGCTTTCTTAGAAATGTTCCCCGAATGGAACTA